GCAAGACGGTGGCGACAGCGGGGCCGCTACAACTGCAGGGCGGGGCCGGGCCGCAGCAGGGAGCTCCGCGGCAGCTGCTGGAGGGCGAGGCCGGGCCGCGACGGCAGCTGCTCCAGGTGCCAGGGGCGGCTGCTGCAGTGGCGGCTGCTCTAGGGGCCAGGGGCAGCTGCTGCAGCGGTGGTTGCTCCAGGGGCCAGGGGCGGCTGCTGCAGGGGCGGCTGCTCCAGGGGCGAGGGGCGGCTCCTGCAGTGGCGGCTGCTCCAGTGGCCAGGGGCGGCTGCTGCAGGGGCGGCTGCTCCAGAGGCCAGGCGCGGATTAGGTCAGGGCGACGCGGCGAGCAGGGCGACGCGGCGGGCAGGTGGCGACGCCGCGGGCAGGGCGACGTGGCGGGCAGGTGACGACGCCGTGGGCAGGGCGACGCGGCGAGCAGGTGACGACGCCGCGAGCAGGGCGACGCGGCGGGCAGGGCGACGCGGCGAGCAGGTGACGACGCCGCGAGCAGGGCGACGCCGCGAGCAGGTGGCGACGCCGCGGGCAGGGCGACGCGGCGAGCAGGTGACGACGCCGCGGGCAGGCGACGACGCCGCGGGCAGGCGACGACGCCGCGGGCAGGCGACGACGTCGCGGGCAGGGGCTACGTCGCGGGTAGGCGACGACGCCGCAGGCAGGCGACGACGCCGCGGGCAGGCGACGACGCCGCGGGCAGGCGACGACGCCGCGGGCAGGGGCTACGTCGCGGGCAGGTGACGACGCCGCGGGGAGGCGGCGACGCCGCGGGCAGGGCGACGCGGCGGGCGGCGAGAGCCTGCAGGGGCGGCGCGCGGTCGGGCAGAGGCTGCGCGCGGGCCTGACGAGTCTGCAGGGGCGGCTCTCGGGCCTGACGGGCCTGCAGAGGCAGCTCGGGGGGGGCCTGACGGGTCTGCAGAGGCGGCTCGGGGGCCTGACGGACCTGCAGGGGCGGCTCGAGGGCGCACGAGGGCGCTCGAGGGCGCACGAGGGCGCACGAGGGCGCACGAGGGCGCACGAGGGCGCACGAAGGCGCACGAGGGCGCACGAGGGCGCACGAAGGCGCACGAAGGCGCACTAGCAGAGAAAGTCGCACGAGGGCGCACGAGGGCGCACTAGCAGAGAAAGGCGCACGAGGGCGCACGTAAGGTAGGACGCACGAGGGCGCTTCTAGCGGAATAGTGGGCCCATAGTAGAAAGCGGTCCTAGGTAGCAACCTAGGCTCGTGATACCATGTTAGAATCTAGAATAGAACGAGAATGGATGAAACTAGGTAGGAGGGGGATACAAGTAGGAAACCCTAACAAAGCTGTACCCCCTAAGGCTAAACCCACTATAGCCTACACAATATAAACATATAATGTTTGACATGGAGGTGCTGGTGCTGGAGGAGCTGGAGCTGTTGACCCTGGAGGCACTGTGCGGCCGCGCCCGTACTTCGTTCCCCTACTTCAGCAGGTTCTTGGTGTCCCGTCTTCTACTAGCCTTCCTCCTCCCTTCCTGTGTCCACCACCTGACCAGTCGCAGCTGCCGTTACAGCCAGCCTCCCCACTGCCTGCTCCTTCTCCTTACACTGAGCAGTCCGGCGGTCTTACAGAGAGTCGTGAGCTTGCATCTTGTCCTGCCTCCCCTGTTCGCACTGCTCGTCGTGTTCCTCGTTCGCGTCCTCCTCCTGTCCCCGGCATGCACACTATGACACTACATCCTTCCTCTGTTCCACTGCGTGTTCCTCTGCTTGCTCCTCCTGAGTCCTCTCTTCCTCCGGTCCCTGACCCTGAGTCTGACCGCGCTCGTACTGCCAGTCTCACTGTCTCTCGTCTCCTTGCCACTGTTGTCACTAACCCTTCTTTTGAGTCAGCTGCTGCGTCTGCCCTCGTTGCTGAGCTGCTTGACTTTGCTGCTGCTTGTCGTCTCGACTACGCCATTGCTCTTGTTGCTGAGTCTGAGTCTGCCAGTCCTCCGTCCGTCAGGGGTGAGTGTGCTCCTGGCACGGACGTCCTTGAGGATAGGCACGAGGAATTTGAGTGTCTTGCAGCTGCTGTACCTCGTTTCGCTTCCATGCTGCTTGCCGCTGAGGGAGACCCAGATGCACCAGACATCCCGACCCCGCGCTCTTACGCAGAGGCGATTACGGTTCCTTACTCCTCTCAGTGGCAGGCAGCCATGGATGCCGAGATGGCATCCTGGAAGTCCACAGGCACCTACGTCGACGAGGTTCCCCCACCTGGGGTGAACATTGTCGATGGCATGTGGATCTTCAGGGTGAAGCGGCCGTCGCATTCTCCGCCTGCCTTCAAGGCGCGTTACGTTGCTCGGGGCTTCAGTCAGAAACAGGGGGTCGACTACTTCCAGACCTTCTCCCCCACCCTGAAGATGACTACTCTTCGGTTGTTGCTGTACGTTGCTGCTCAGCGTGGCTACGAGTTGCACTCTCTGGACTTCACTACAGCTTTCCTGCAGGGCAGCCTGCACGAGGAGATCTGGCTGCGCCGCCCACCTGGCTTCACTGGGTCGTTTCCTGCAGATACCCAGTGGAGCCTCCGGCGGCCAGTCTATAGTCTTCGCCAGGCGCCTCGCGAGTGGCACGACACACTGAGGACTACACTTGCGGCTCTTGGGTTTGCTCCTTCTACTGCTGACCCGTCGCTGTTTCTACGCACCGACACCTCGCTGCCGCCGTTCTACATCCTCGTATACGTCGACGACCTCGTCTTTGCCACTGCTGACACCGAGGCTCTGACCCTTGTGAAGTTTGAGCTGCAGAAGAGACACAACTGCACTGACTTGGGTGAACTGCGCAGCTATCTTGGCTTGCAGATCACCCGGGACAGAGCACGGCGCACCATCACCCTGACTCAGTCACACATGGTGCACCAGGTCCTTCAGCGCTTCGGCTTCCAGTTCTCCTCACCACAGCCCACTCCTCTGTCTACCAGCCACTCGCTCTCAGCTCCACCTTCGGACGAGTCCGTAGAGCCGAGTGGTCCGTACCCAGAGCTTTTGGGTTGCCTCATGTACCTAATGACGTGCACACGACCTGACCTCGCGTACCCTCTCAGCCTTCTGGCTCGCTATGTGACTCTCGGTAGGCACCGAAAGGTGCACTGGGATGCTGCGAAGAGGGTATTGCGTTACTTGTGCAGTACGTCGGGCATGGGGCTCTTGCTTGGAGGACGGGGTCCAGTTGTCCTCACTGGTCACGCAGACGCTTCTTGGGTCGTCACAGGGTTACACTTTCAGCCTTGGTTCCGGCTCTGTCTCCTGGCGGTCTACCCGCTCATTTTCAATTCTCAGCTCTAGTTGTGAGGCTGAGATCTACGCCGGGGCCATGGCTGCACAGGAGCTACACTGGCTCACCTACCTGCTGACTGACTTGGGAGAGCAGCCTTGTTCGCCTCGTACGAAAAGGTGCAATTAACTGTTTTTTCTGTTGCGGTTCGATACAGTGATGACTCGGGCAACTGCTCAATACCGAGTCAGTTGTTTGTCCTTGCTGTCGCCAGGGCTGATTTTATCAGGGTAATTACCCTGATTTCAGGGTGATTTCAGACTTGTCACTTTCTGGACCCTGAGAAATCAGGTTTTTCACATTTTGGTCCCTGATCCCATTCAGAGTATTGCTTTAGCGGACCCTGAAATTTTGTGTACACTCTCAGTGTAGGGTTTTCACGGACCCTGTCAATACAGAGTACGAGGCCTGTGGACCCTGAATGCGATGTTATCGGGGCGAAGTTTCTCGGAAATTTCCTCCTGATAACCCCTTCGCATTGATTTCAGTGCCCCCCACATGCGTAATCCTCCCTCCCCTCCCCCCCCCCTCGCTTTATCGAGACGAAGTTTCTTCGAAGTTTCTTTCCCATACACCCACCATCTACTGTCCTCAGTAAAGAAAGAGCGCGTTACTACGACCCTGATTTTCAATTCTCGACCCTGAACATTCAGAGTTCACTACTTCTCAACCCTGAGCAATCAGGGTGCTGTTTTTCTGGAAAATATGCCTTCCGGGTAAATTTTTTTTTTTTAGGTTGAAATCAGGGTACCTAAATTTGAAAAGTCAGCCCTGGCTGTCGCGCTGTATTTGTCAAGTCAAAGGTCAGCGACCTTTGACCTTCGCGTAACCTCCAGCTGTTACTTTTCTTGTCAACCTCCTCGCTTGACTCGCTGTTGCTTCGCTGTGATTCGCCTCGTTTTTAGTCTGTTTGTTTCGACACAACATGAGCGTTAAATTTCTTGTTTCCAACATCCCGCCACTGTTCACGACGCGACCCAACCTCACGGTTCGGTTGGTAACCCGCGCTCCGGACCTCCGCCTCGACATATCCTAGCCTCGGCACTAGGCCCGAAGCGCACCCCAATTCCTCGCGTTACCGTTACCCCTCTTGTTCGCTATATATTCCTCGCACATGCCTTAGCTCATTGTATTGTTTTGCTTCGATAGTGCAATTCTCGCTCGCTCGCTCAATTGCACTCGTAACAGGATATATGCAAAGGAAGAAGTTTGTTTTGAGAAATACTCTGGCATGAGCAAACTGTAGACTCACAATTGATGAAGAGCGATGGGAAGAGAACTGCAGGAGGACAACAAGCGTCTGACAGGTATTTGAGTGGTATGGCTGAAGAATACAACGTCTGTCGCTATGAAAACTGAGAGAGTGCTTGTTCAGAATCACTACACCTTACGCAGGTATTTCCTCGATGAACACACAGGTCAGGCGAAAGCGCAGGGGCGCGAGCATAGCCTGAGCTCGTCACGAAGTCGTTTCAGGCGCTAGCAGAGAGATGTATAGAGATCTTCCCACGTATTTTCTTCGTCCAAATTATCGGTTCCAAGAATCTGGGCCCCCTATTGAACGGCATGGCAACCATGCTAAGCATAAGCATGTTGCATTTGACTCCACGCTCAGGTCCAGAATGTATGCACAAGCTTGTACTACAGATGTATGTGTACATGAGAAAATTCATGGCCTACGGTAGTATATACAGATACTTGTAACCTACTCTTCATCGTTAATGAACTTCCCTGTACCGGGATTAATAGCCGCGACAAAGAAGAACGCGATGCTCGCCAACAGCAGCGGCTCCAACTCAAAAATCGGCAGCCCGGTCTCAATATTCAGCTGCGCCAAAGCGCCTCTCCCTGTGATAGCCTCGCCGATCAAGCTCGCCGCAAACCCTAATTGCGCCATACGCCCCACGAACAGCTCGTTCGCCTTGGTGAATCCGAACAGCGGTCCGTCATCGCTCAGCCCAAGCGCGGCCTTGAAACTCCCCGGCTTCACCGGCGGTCCAGCAGGCGCCTCGTCGTCGACGAATCGCCCGCGGTCGCCCAGCCCGCCGATCGCGCCGAGCACGGTGAATGCGATGAAGAAGAGGAGAAGCGGCTCGGCTTCCGTAATGGGAATTCCGGTCTCGAGGTTGAGTTGCGAAAGGATTCATTGCCCGGTTACCGCTTCGCCGAGGAGCGACGCTGCGAACCCAAGCATCGCCACGCGGCCGACGAAGAGCTCGTTGGCTTTCGTGAAGCCGAAGCCGCCGGATGTGCCGAAAATGCCATCCTCTGTTCGCAGCTGCTTCTTAACGGGTGCGGACTTAACGGGGACAGCGGTCTTGTTGAAGCCGAGAAGGGCAGTCACCGCGAGTCCGCGGGAAGCGACAATGGGAGCTGCTGCTACGCGATTTGCAGAGAGAGCAGCGCCCTTCACCGCTGTGCCGAACGAAAGGGAAGAAATTGATTGGCGAGCAATGAGGGAGAAAGCCATTGCGTTAAGACGCTAGCAAAAAATATGGAATTATTGTTCGAAGGAACGTCGTGAGCGTAGTTAGCCCGAAACAATAATGAGAGTAGAGTAGTCTGTGTCAGGTAGTCAGGAATCTGTATAAGTGAATTTATGAGTTTTCCGAGCCGCGAATTGAAATTGACTGTCAAGCCCAACTGAGGCTTGAAACCAGAAAGGCAACAGAGAGTCACTGATAGACGTGGCTGTCCAATTGATACGCCACGGTGGATGGTCTGCTTCAGCGCTCACTGGATCTGGGATGTAAGCTTAGCCGCGTGGCCGTTTTCTCGCCACGAACTACGTCAGCCAGAGGCCAGAGCTTCTCCAAGTCAGATCTCTTAAAACCAGGGTGCACATTCAACGCGGTTCGGCTTGAGATGTTGGGAAGGGGGTTTGGAGAAAAACAGTGATTGGCTCACGAGGGGCGACAAAAAAATGATTCCGCTAGAGCTTCGGGCATTTCGTAGGTGGCGGGAGGGGGTGAAATGGCGGGAGTGGGTGAAACCGAATGGCGGGAGGGATGAAACAGATTGGCGGGAGGGGGGGGAACGAAATTGCGGGGGAGGGGGGAAACAAAATTGCGGGGGAGGGGGGAAACGAATTTCGACGGGGAGGGGGAAATGAAATTGCGGGGGCGTGGGGAAACGAAATTGCGGGGGAGGGGGGAAACGAATTTCGACTTGAAGGGGTTAAAAGCACACCTCGTAACCCACTCAGTCAAGGGATAACCTTTGATGCACATTCAGCTGAATGTGCACCCCGGTTTTAACACAAGGGTGTGACCTGGCGTGTGTCTTCTGGAAGTTTTCTGGGGCGATCAAGCTCTGTCCCCAGCGTACCTCAGGTGTTGTTGACCCCCTGTGACCTGGTTTGCTGGACGGAGCGGGCGGGTACAGTATGGCTGGACAGCACACACGAAGGCCGCCAAGTTTTCCGCGTTTAGAAGAAAACGCTTGTATTCAAGAAGATAGACAGACAACATAACTGGCTTCAAGGTGATAACAAGCTAGTACCCACTCTGTTCGATGACAAAACTGGTTAAATCAGAAAGCAAGCAAGCTAGAAGATTACAGTAGTTATTTAGAAACGGCGGTTGGCATTTGGAATTGAATGGCGTTTCGAAGTACCGTAGCAAAAACGGTTTGCATAACATTAGCATGTCACCCCCAGAGAAGCATTAAAAAATTAGGCAGGCAACTGAGTACCCCAGCCCAGCCCAGGGGTCAATTCAAGCCACAAAGCAACCCACTCTACATCAAAACACCTACTTCAGCAAGCATCCCTCATCCCCCCACCCCCTTCCGAACCCACCCCCCACCCCACAAGTGTCTATGCAATGTAACCCCTCTCCTTCCTCAGCTGGTCGATCCCAACCTCCTTCACCAGCCTCACAACACCCAGTTCCGCCCCCTCACCTCCTCCACCCACCCAATCCTCCTGCTGAAACGCACACGCCTCCCCTCCCGTCCCTTCCGCCTTCACTCGCACATCCTCCCCTGACGCCACCATTTCTACTTCCTTACCCCCTGGAGCTGCAGCCCCACGTGCCCCCAGCACTTGAAAGAGCAGGTTCTGGTGGTCGAGAGAAATAAAAGGACGAGAGGAGGAGGGCGCTGTAGGGTGAGCAGGGAATGCCGCACACACAGCTGCTCCTGCTGCTGATGATGATGATGCCGAAGGGGACGATGAGGAGGAGGATGGATCGGAGGGGAGAAAGCGGTTATCGAGCGCGGTTGACGCGAACGTGACAGGCGGCGCCATGGCATCTTGTCCCTCAACCTCGCCCCCTGCACCGTCCACAGCTCCCGACCCAACCGCAGGATCACCCCCCGCCTTGCTGGTGCCAGTTACATTGACAAAGGGGAAATCCATGGGCAGTCGGGGGAGAGAGGAGAAGATGTCCTGCGCCAAGAACGCCAGGAGAAGCTGCCTCTGCGCATCAGCGTGAGCACCTGCAGGACCTGCAGCAGCAGCAGCTGCGGCAGCAGAGGCAGAGGCAGAGGCTGTATGGCCTGAGGAGCCGTGCCCTTGGGTGCTCCCAACCACTACCTCCAACACTCGCTGCAGAGCCCATGCGTACCCTATGAACATCCCCGGGTTAAGGAACCTGTTCGGGACGCCGTCTACTGAATGCGGATTGTAGAAGAACGAGGAAGTGGAGGAGGCGGAGGACGAGGAGGAGGAAGGTGAGGGCGCGCAGCGGTCGTTGCCTGCGAAGACCACGGGTGACTGTAACGAGAGGAACGACCCAAGCAGGTGCTGCTGCTCGCAGTGCCTGCTAGGCAGCATAACGACATTGTTAGAGCTCGAAACGGCTACTATGCGGTCTGGCGGCACGACGTGGAGGTACTTAAAGAGGAGATTCATCCAGGAAGGTTCTGGAGAGCCGGGAGGCGGAGGCGGGGGAGTGGTGGATGGATGTAGGCCGAAGATGGTGATAGGCATGTCGTTCATATGGCATGAATCGACGAGCCGATGGAGATTCTCCGAGCATTTAAAAGGAGCAGTTCCTCCCGATTCGGGCCCTTGCGATATAGTCACCCACTCGATCGCGCATTTGGAATGCTTGAGATTAGGAGGGCCGGTGGCGGAGGGAGGACCGGCTGCTGACGTGTATTCCACGGTGCATCCATCCCGAGCGGGAAAACCCGCTGTAGAGGTTCTCGATATTCGATCCCATCGCTCCATCGCGCCAATGGCGCGCTCCGAACCGGCCTGCGCTAAGCGGCTGCATTCCTGCGTGCGAAGCGGCGGCCGAAGCGGCGATTGTAACGGAGACGTGAAATACCCGCCGTTGCGTTGAGAACCAGAATCCGTCCCGGAAAAAAACAACAACGGATATAGTAACATAAGTGTGAGTACGAGACCCGCGATAGCTAATGCGGCAACCACGCGGCGTTTCTGCGACCAGGGAAGGCGATAAAGCTTGCTGAGGAGCAGACCGCATTTGACGGAAAGACTGGGCCTTGGGTGTGCCATGATTTGCTTCTGTATCGCCTGTGCGAGTCGACCAAGAAAAGGTAAATCCTCACACAAATTCTCCTATTCAAAGTGTCTAATTCCTGCCAGACCTCCTGCCTAATCTCCTGCCTACTCGTCTTCAGGCCCTTCGATATCAGGAATTTTCCCCTTCAATTCCTGATTTTCACGGAAATTTTTGTACCTACCCTGATTTTCCTTTGTTGGGTTGCCTAGCAACCTTATACATTCGTTTTCACTTTTCGGTTGGCTGATGTGAACAGTGAATTTCTTTCATAAATTTTGAAAGAAATCACTGTTCACATAGCTTCCCCAAAAAAATGAAAACAAATGTTTCCAATCATTCCATAATCGTCGATAAGTACGGCGAATGGAACAATTGGAGAATCGTTTTAGCACTAAAGATGATACGGTACCCAATGACACACGAACGCAAAGGACAACACAAAAAATACAACAGTACCACCGAGAGACAGACATACACAAATGACCACAAAAACGATGGTGTACAAGAACCGTCTTACATGTTTTGAAGGGAATACTAAATGCATCTATGCAACAACTGAGACTGATATGGTACGGAAGAGGCGAGCAAAGCTGCCCCACCGACGATCACAATCCCAGTTGCATACACGAGACACTTAGCACCACACCCCCAAAACAAGCACAGACGATAACACATAAATGATTACTAAAACACAAGACAACGTTTAAGAAAGTTTCAAAGCGAATGCTAAATGCATCACTGCTGCAACTGAGATTGATATGGTACGGAAGAGGCTAGCAAAGCTGCCCCACCGACGATCACAATCCGAGTTGCATTCAGGAGGCACTTAGCACCACACCCTGAAGCACGCACAACACACATATGCACATGTACGCACTCACACACATACAGGCTCACACATATACAGAGACACACAACGCAAAAACATACAGCTACTGTAATAAGCATGCAAGCATAATGAATGAATTTCAGCCTTGTATAAATTATCACTATCCTGTCCCCCGTTCCCCTCCCTCCCTCCCTCCCTCCCTCTTTTCCTCCCTCCCTCCCTCCCTCCCTCATTTCCCTCATCTCCCTTCTCCCCATCCCTTTTCTCCGCAAGAAACAAAGGCTGCAGCTTGAACTCCCTGCACAGGAAAGAAAAATCAGGGAATGCAACTCACTCCCTGCACAAACAAGAACAAAATCAGAGAATACAACTTGCATTAATAGCACAAGAAAACAAAATCAGAGAATTCAGCTTCCTTGATGCACTAAAAAACAAAGTAAGCGCAACAGAAATTCACGCGCAAACTCCCACGTTCTCTCACGCGCTCCCTCATGCGCAAACTCGCGCGCTCTATCGCGCGCACTCTCCCACGCGCTCTTTTGCACACACTCTTGCGCGCTCTCTCTTGCGCACTCTCACGCACTCTCTCGTGCACTCTCTCGCGCACTCTCTCGCGCACTCTCTCACACACTCTCACGCGCTCCCTCACACGCTCTCTCACGCGCTCCCTCACGCGCTCCCTCACGCGCTCTCTCACGCAATCTCTCATTCGCACTCTCACGCGCACTCTCACTCACGCGCTCCCTCGCACGCTCTCTCAGGCGCGCTCGCTCTCACGGGCTCTAACACGCACTGTCACGCGCTCTCTCACGCGCTCTTTCACGAGGAGAGCAAAAAACAAACAAACAAAAGAAGAAGAAGAAGAAGAAGAAGAAAGTATTTTCAGAGGGAGGAGGGAGGATGAAAGAACTGGGAACGCACCAGATAACCACGGTAACTCAAAAAACAACCCGGGCTCGCGCACGCTTGCGCTCGTGCACCTGTCGCCGGAGGCGACGGCGGGGAGGAGGAAGAGGCAACCGCGTGGAGGAGGGAGCGGCGACGGCGGGGAGGAGGGAGAGGCAACCGCGTGGAGGGAGAGGGGACGGCGGGGAGGAGGGAGAGGCGACTGCGGGGAGGAAGGAGCGGCGACGGCGGGGAGGATGGAGCGGCGACGGCGGGGAGGAG